TGAGATTAAACTAAATCCACGGATGCCATTCTACATTTCATGCACGCACAGTATGAAATCAAATAGGTATCCACTGCCACCTGTTACGTCTATGAAATCAGATGCTTTTAGCTGCCCTTCAGGCAAATTGTTATCCATTTTGAAAATTTCAGGTAGGGCTTATGACACCTGTGTTTTGTTTGACAATTGCTATTAAAAAAAATCTGCATTTGTTATAGTGCAGGAAGTCATACAAATTACTGTTTTGTTCTCTTTTGTTATCTACACGGATAGGATCACAACTGCACAGGACAGTAGCTTCCTTCTCACAACCACTTATTAGCAAAACAAAAACAAACGCCCCCCCCCCCAAAAAAAAACAACTAAGCCTGATATACTGCACTATAAAAAAAAAAAGAGCAAGCTTCCTCAGAACATCAGAATGCAATTGTGAACTGCTTGTACTTGAAAGTATGGATTCTTCTCAGTATCACAATAGTTATTTATTAATTCATTATCACTCTACAAATACTTGGTATTATTTTGAGTCAATGATAATGCCATCAAAATTCTGTATCAAGTAAATATTAGAGTATTTCAGTATAGATTCACCATTAAATACACATAGTTCCTTGGCCCTTCTGAGAAATCTTGTATTTCCTACTTCATTCGTGCAAGTATTTGTTAACAGCATTTCAGTGATGCATCATCACTACAGTCTTCTCACTATCCTTTTACCAATGTAGGTCTTTTTTCAGATTACAGCAGTTAGGTAATGTAATAGTTAAGGGTGATGCAAGTCCACCCACTTCCCTTCCTTTCTTCTGCTTGGTTTTGGAGGGGAAAAATATATTATTGTTAAGAGCAAGAAAAGATAAAAACAATTCAGTTGGCAAGCAAAATAAAGCAGCAACTCCAGTAGAGTACAATCTTAAATATAATGCCATGTGGCAAAAACAAACAACAAAAAAAAATTTTCCTGGTGTAAAAACAAACAGCATTAAGAATTGCTATTACAAGTATATTGAGTGGATGGAGAGAAGAAATGTCACAATTCCAAAATTTCACATAAATCAACTATGAAGATGTTAAGTTTCCCTCAACTTTGCTCATCAAGGCATTCAAAAATATCAAGGCACCTCAGCAAAGGAATTAGGAGTGTGCTTGCACATGTTTGACAAAGGCTTCCATTTCAAGCAATTCAACACAATGCAGTAAAATACAGAACAAAGCTGGAATTTAAAAGTTTAGAGAAAAAAATGGTATTTTTGTTCAGGGAATGCACAAGTAGTTGAGTCTGAGCAAGTAATCTGCTGCCTTGACACAGTCTGTTCCCTTCCTCTCAGTTACATATCTCGTTTATACCTTGATCAATATCTTTTCTCAAGTATTTTCCCAGAACTTGCAAGAGGAAAAAGAAAGCAAAATACAGATGTTCACAGCACAGGTGCTTCGAAGGCTGGCTAACTTCTTCCTTCATGCAGACCTGTGTATAAAGATCAGAGGGAACAATACAAGAGCAGGACAATGAGACGATGCAGAAGGGAGGGGGGTATGTGCTTTGGGGAAAGCAATGCTAACAGAGAATAAAGAATGACTCCTGAGGATCAGAGCCTGCAATTATGAGCATGATACTTGCCATTTATTAACATGATTAAACAGGCAGTCCCAGATAAGATCACCACGAAGAGATTATTCCACTATTTAACAGAACAAAGGATGCTAGCTAAGTGTGAGACATAACATTCCTTTCTAGATGGCTAAGATATTGACAGATTTCTTTCGAAGCAGTTTCTTTCAGTTTCCTCCTTCTTACTGCATTTTCAAGGTCCCTTTGTTACAATTTCTGGTCTAGACTATGCTTTTAATTTCTCTTCCCTTCCTCCCTTTATCCCCCTCCCTTTTTTTTTTTTTCCCTTTTCCATCAGAGTAAAGAGCCAAATAATGGAACAGTGGGACTCCCTGCTTTGGTGTATAAAAGTCCTGCAGTACAGCAGCATTACAATTGAAAGTCCTTTTCTAGGGAATCTGCATGTCCTTTAGGAGAACCTGTGTGTGTGACTGGCAACCTTTTTTTATTACAGATGGAATCTTAGTTCAGCAATCTCATCATTTTGTGAGTACTTCTTATCATCCTCATTCGTACCTGTCTGCAACCAGTCTAACACTATCTTTTGAAAACTGCTCTCCTATACTATTATATGGCCAGCTCACTTTCAGCACAGACATCTCTCACTCTAAATTCTGAGAAACAACTATTGTGTCTGCCCCAGAAATCCCATCACACCTTTTTACAGTAGATATACACTCGTGTTTTCTGAAGTTCCCTTATTATCTGTTTACATCTTCAATGACATCAGGTGAAAGAACAGGAGTGCTGAAGAATCCATCACATTGTACAGGCATTCTAATGTACCTGAATACCATCTATGTCTCTGTTTTCCAGAAACAGCTGTGCTGACAAATATGTCCATTTTCTCAGTTACTAACCCAGTACTAAAGGTAGCATGCTTTCTGAAAAGTTCTGGTTTCTTTTCTATGCTTATTTAAACACTGGATTTGTCCAATCCTATTTTTTTTTAAACATGAAATTAATTGTTACCTGTAGGTTTTGGAATCATTGTAAGTTACATAGGAATTACTGCACAGCTCTGCTTTAGCACTAACATAACTCATGCTGACAACTATCCTTTTGTTATCAGTGGCTGTGATAATTTGATGTGTATGTATATTAAAAATGTGCACTGCATTTCCTATCACGTATCTGCTTGCTCTTTTGATAATTCCCAGCTACTTAGCTTCTCTTGTCTGCGATCTCCATCTGTCATTGATTTCACTCTATTGTTCACCACCATCCTATTATGCTATTTAGAACTCCAGCTTCAGACACTATCCTGGGTTTCTGCTTCTATGATATTATTTTGCCTTTTCCACAAAAGACTTTCATTATTTCACTGCACGTTGACTTCTAATGCTCTTTCTTTTTGTTACCAAATTTCTCTTAATTTCTCTAATTTAGGTTTTATCCAACAACTGACATTTACACCCCCTGTACCATTTTAACCTAATTTAATGCAGCCCATACAAAAGCTGCAGGCACTTCTACTTTGGTTTAACTTAGGCTTATTTCAGTTTAACACTGTTATGGTTTGAAGAATTAATCACATGACACTTTTTTGTTGCCCCGTGGATATCTGAGTGACACCGGGGTCCCATACAGGACATCTGGGTGACACCCCACGGTGGGCACCAAAATAGTGTCGTCGTTTGAAGAGTTAATCACACGACATCCCTCTCTCCCCTCAGGAGAAAGGGGTGGGAAGGAAGAGGGAAAAGCCCGTTTCAGATAGGAGAAACTAATTTATTAAAAGGAATGTGAGATAATACAGAATAATTACGAGCAATAAATAAAAATGAACCAAAAGCAAAACAGGATCAGAGAGTCAGCCTGAGCCTTTACCGACAGGCCCTCCACCGCTCACCCCTCAGAAAAGACGGCTCTTCCCCATCCCCCGGAATCGGAAACCATGTGGAGGCTCCTGGGAAATGCAGTACATCCCAGAGTATCTTCCTCTTGGAGAGTCAGGTCTCACATGAGACTGCTGGAGATAAACAAGAAGCACAGCTCCGCACTGCGCCGCGTCTCTGCTCCCAACAGCCTGTAGCATGATGTTACGATATGGAGTACTGATAAAACCAGGACAAACATACACTGATTTAGTTACGCCCAATCCAAAGTCAGGTAATTCTTTACAAATCTCCGTAGTGCAGTTTAGATCAACCTCAGAAAATCTGTTCAAAAACAAGTCACACTGGTGCATATTTAGAAGCAATCTTGCACAGCTTAGCACACAGAGATAAAATCCTGATTCTGCCCTAGCTTTGCCTACTGCTCTTCTTTCTTTCTTCCCTTAAACACGTTACTGAGTGATGCTTTTTTGTTTTTAAATAACAAAGAATAAATAAGTAAAAATACACAATGCACGTAGTCAAGTAAACATATCTGATAGCTCTTTATGATGAATGCCCCAGTGTATACAGGAAACGAAATAAAGAAAAAAGCTCTTTGTTAATAAAAGCAACAGAAATGAACAAATAATTACATTCCTAAATTGAAGAAGGAAGAGAGGAAACAAGACCAAAGATAAGACCACAAAGTTTATTTCAGGAATACAAAAGTACAATTATTCCTCAAGTTTCCTAAAACAGAGAGCCAACAGAGATACTGGATGCTCTACCCAAAGTAAGACAAGTGAAGAATTAGACGGAAAAGTCACTGACATTAACGAGGGTTCTAAACAACCACATGTGAACAACCCATTAGCATTTACTTAAGCAGAAGGTACTGTCACATGCGGAGATGGACAAAATAACACCTTCATCACCTGAAAAACATTCCTACAGGTAGAACTAGATTGAGCACGATACCTTTGAAGAAAGCCACAGATGAAACTTTAAAATGGTAGCTTCATCATTGCAATTCAGCGTGGTATTGCTGTTTGCATAATAAAGATTAGTCATAAGTTGATGAAAACTAACTTAGACTACACAAAAAGTTCACTTATAGGCCTTCCTGTAACACAGAAAATCAGATTAATAGCAAATAATGATGAAAAAACAAACTAAAAATACCTTAATTGGAGTTGATAGAAAATATCCCAGCACTTCTTCAAACACAATATTTGAACTATTCAAAAACAAATCTTTATAAGCTTTATGATAGTACTGAATTATTGTAGTCTAACAGACAAATGTTTGTAAGGTGGGAATTTCAGTTTGGGACTTCATATCAATCACAGTATCATAGAATCACTCAGGTTGGAAAAGATCTTAAAGATCATTGAGTCCAACCACAACCTAACCATACTACCCTAACTAACAATCCTCTGCTAAATCATGTCCCTGAGCACCACATCCAAATGGATTTTAAACACATCCAGGGATGGTGACTCAATCACCTCCCTGAGGAGTCTATTCCAGTGCTTAACAAACAACCTTTTCAGTAAAGAAGTTTTTCCTGATATCCAACCTAAACTTACCCTGGTGCAAATTAAGGTCATATCACTAATTTTAAATTCATACATGAATTTCTCACAAGGCTGGCATTCAGTAACATCTGTGGAAGGGAAAAAAGAAACAAAAGAAAACAACAGAAATTTGAGTAGTTTAGAAAGAAAAGTACTTGCACCACTGCATATAATGCCTCCACAGGAAATCCTTGATTAATCAGTAAGGGAAGCCCTAAACTGCAACATATCACAAACTGAATTTCAGTCCCAGTTTTCCTGTATCAGTTGAATTCCTATTCTGCATTAAGTCCTTAACACTGCAGCATGACTAAAGAATTCCCAAATCTTTCTCAAAATGGTATGAATAAGATCAAACAATTGTGTACAGCCAGAGATGGCACATTATAGAAGTAGTATATTAATAACAGGCATCCAAACTGCAACACATCACAACATAGCTAAATCAGTAGCCAACAACACTGCTAATCATAACTAAATCATTTTAGTTTTGGACAAAAACATCCAGTAGCAATATCTGTGTTTTCCCAACAAACCATGACTTCCCTAAACGAACAGTTTCCAGTTTTCAAGCAGTTCTACTGTTTATTTAGATATCTGAATTAAAGACAGTGAAAATGGGAAGGAGATTTCTTGATGTATTTTATGTTTTACAAACATTCCCAGGTAATCGTTCCTTAGCACTGCATGAACCCATTGAAAGTGTTCAATTATTTTGAAAATATGCTTCATCAGCAGAATGGAGAACTTCCTGAGCTGACACAAAATGGCTTCCTTCTCCTGACATGAAGGAGCCGTGCTCCAAACTACTCTAATTTAAGACAAGAAGTTGATAATTTTATGCAAATTACATCCTCTATACAAATAACTCATAACATAACTATTTTGTTTAAATGCCCCTGAAGATAAATTTGTGCACTTGCTTTGGTTCATTAAGAACTCAAATCTTCAGTTTTAAATGTCAAGGAAGAGAACAGAAGTGGTCTGGATAGGCAATAACTGTTGCAGCATCCTACAGGATTGAAACGCAAACAAAATTGTAAGACTTTGAAAAAGGTTCAGCTTTTACAGATCTTTACTTAAAGATCAGATTAATCTTGGGGAAAAAAAAAGTTACTACAGTAATTAATCTATAATTAATTTCATATTATACCAAACATTTTTATTTTTTTTTCCCCACCAATCCATTTTGCTTAAGCACTTCAAAGTGACATCTTCTGTTAATCAAACAGATTATACACCAAGTGTCAGCATTAAGATTTACCAACAAGCTCAACAAGCTCAAGGTAGAACAGCAATATGAAATGTCATTGACGATGCTATTTTTTAATTTTTATTTTTCTAATCTTTATTAACATTGTTTATTGAATATCAGTTTTAAATGGCTTTTGAGATTAAGTGCTGCAGGTTCGGAATTTCTATTTAGCACTAAAAGTTCCAGAAAACAATTAATTACAAGATTGTTACTTTAAGAAAATATTGTGCTACTCACAGCATTCAAAATAATACGTTGTGCTCAGAATGCATTGATTTAATCAAAAACCGAGTTAAGATGCAGAAATGAACAACAGACAAAAGAAGCAATGATGGGTAAAGAACAAGAACAGTCGTCAGAATTGTTTGCCTAGTGTTACTTACACTATTTGCACATCCACATGCCATGTATGTATTTGTTACAGAGTCTAGCTGGTGATGTCTGACCATACATACAATTCTGCAATCACACATTCAATAAAATTCAGCTATCCCACTATACAAGCAGATCATGTATAGAATACTGCACAAAACACCACAAATTTTATATACATCTGATTCCATTATTTTACAGGTTAAGTTTCTAAACATTTTACTAACATGACAAAATCCTCTGATTAGTGCAGCGTTTGTGAGAAGGTGACAGATGCTAGTATTAATTACACACTGAGCAGATCATTTTCTCATTATGTTTCTTTTGTTACCAGCTTCATCTTCCCAGTTATCAGCCAGTCCTATAAGCAGATTAAGAATATTTTTGGTCTCTATAGCTTGTTACATGAGTGACAGACCTTTTCCATACTACCCTACCATCTGGATTCCTCTCTTGCAATTTTTACAGTCTGTACTTGTCAACTGTAAGATCATGGATAAGAAATTTTATTTTGAAAGGTTACTTATGTGGTTATCTGGAGTGATTTTATGTTCAGCGTTGGAAGCAATATGGCTTAGTGCCTGCTTTGTACAAACAGATAATGTCTATTGTTGGTGACCTACCTTGCCAAATTATAACAGGCACATCAAATATTAATTTGGCATTTCAAAAATGATTGAAGAACATGCACAATGAAAGGTAGCTAGAAAGGCATGTTAAACAAGTTGCCATCTTGATGGTAGCCTCAAGACAAAAATTCCCATTCTATACGTTCTGCACACACAAAATCAGAATTATCCACTGTTCCCATAAACTTTACCAGAATTTCTTGTATATACAGAGATTTTATGGCCAAATCTGTTCTCTCTGTAGTACATCTTTCCTGACATGTACAGCAACCTTTCCATAACAAACTCAAAAGGCTGCTGGGGGGAGAAAAATGAAATTGAAAATTCTAATGGCAAGGTCATTCATTTAGGAATAATTTCTGCAATTAGCCAAAAGGTTGAGCTGGAAACTGACAATGGGAAGACAGACACTGGGATAATAATTGATCAAATGACAATCAAGTCAGCAGTGTGATTTTGGCACAGGAAGTCAAATATGATCTTAAAACTTAAAATGACACAATTTTCCAGAAGACGAAGCAAATAACAATGCCTTTGCACCAGGCTTTCAAAAGACCTCTTGCTTACAATAAAAGTTCTAATAGGAAGAAATGCACAGGAAAGATACCGCAGTGACCAGGAAGTAGATTGTTTCATAAGTGGAAACTGAAAAAACAAAACAATACTGTCAAGAGAGAATATTTACTGAAATTAAAAAAGACCAATCTCGTTTGTATGCGTACACACACTGCTACCTACATACAATGGTACTATTTAAGCCAAAGGACATCACCCCACAAAATAAACTTGCAAATTTATCTGTACCACTGCATGTTTTACCTGGTAGAGAAATGATTAAGTGGAACAGTTGTTCTGTGTTAAGTAGCAAAGCAAAAAAAAAAAGCCTCACTACCTTTGAAGAGCACCTAGTCCCATTTATGCTGTGAAGATCTATTATGTGGCTGGACAGAACAATGTGGATTTCAGAAATCTTCATTTTTCTATTTCTGCAGTGGAACTGTTAAATGCCCATGGTGAATGAATGTGTAGAATAGTTTCCCTGCATTTGTGAAGTTATGATTACAGCCTTAAAATGGCTATCTAAAATAAAATACTTTCACTGTTGGTTCTAAAGATCTTTTTCTATACTATCTAGCTATTTAAGCTGCATACCACGAATACTTATTGACCTGCGCTTCTGTACAGTCTATTTTGAGAAAAGTTTTTTTGCAGTCAATTATAAGGCTCCTCCTTCAGTATCCACCTTCAAGTAGCTTAAACAGAAGCTACATGGCAATCTTCTCCTCCTGGCTTCTCAGAAGAAATTCACGCTTGCTAGTAAGTAGTCAATACTTTTGTTTAGAAAATTTTGCTTACTGACTCTAAATTTGAAATGTTAATTGAAATTGAATTTTTATCTGGGATGGAAGCTGTCTTTTGTTGCAGAAGGTGAAGTTAGCAGCAGGGCCTCCTGGGGCACAAATACATCCACACAAATGCATATTTCTTGCTAATGTTTTTCAACTACTGCTGCATTTGACTGGTTAAAAAGAGTTCGAACAGCCTCTGTTCCAATCTGCTTCCTATATAATTTGCCTGCAGCAGGCCTTGTTTTCTTTTTTCCACGTGTCCTAGTTTCGCTAGGTTCAAGTTAAAGACAAGTAAAGATGCAGTAGTACATCTTGCCATTATTGCAAATAGCAGTATTGAAAAATAATGTTTTCTGAATTATTTCTGCAGTAATTGACATGCTTACAGCCAAAGACGCACACCTCTGCATCGCAGCCTAGGGGCTTTTCATCCTGTTTTGTCCTCCTGTTTTCACTGCTTAGGCTCAGCAAATCTGTTAGTGTACACTTACCTCTGGTTTCAGAGATATCCTTTATTTTTTTTTTTTAATTAGCAATTTCAATTCACTTATGTTCAATTATACAGCTTAAGCCTACTGTACTGACCATGAGGCAGTAGCAGACTTCAGAAAAACTGTCTGTAGAACATCCCTTGTATACCAGGGTGCATAATGGAAAAAAAAATTCAATTCCCTGGAGCGAGGGGAAAAAGCTGGACAAAACAGTGTTGACAGGGCTGAACACAAAGCTTGTTGCAATGCACTGGTTTCTTCCCCACAGAGGACCGCTTTTTGTTCAACTGTATTTTTTTGCTCTAAAACTTCCCTAAGGCTTTCTGTATTTGCAGAGGGATTTCTTGTTCCAGGATAGTTTGAGTTGTTAGTCAGCTGGTACCTGGAATGCCTGCCCATGACTACTGGTCTATACATTCTGAAGCTGTATAAACCATTCCCAAATTACTAACTTTGCCATCGAAGAGCCAAATTTACTGCTCACGTAAAGCTTACAGAGCCAATTCAAAGTAGGGCTGTGCTCGCAAAAATACAAAAGCCTTCACACAAATACACCATAGAGCTGTGGACACTTTTTTTCTGCTTAAAAAAAACAATGCATCATTTCTAAAACATTGACTTTCAAGAACGGGACTAATCAAAGTAGAAAATTCAGTGTACATATAACTGTGTGCACGGCTAGAGCTTTAGATTACTAGCTGAGTGCAAAAGTGTACGTTAAATAGCCCAGAGCACTCAATGAATGCTCCACAAATATCACAGCACTGATACGATTGCCACAAGGTCCATCGGGGAGGCCCATTACAAGACTTCATCTATGAAACATAACACATTTCTCAGCTGTTGCGCAGCACCATAACCACTCTTCATTTTGGAACTTAGAGGTCCCTGGAATTACTCTGGAACTTCTACCTCAAACAAATTTTGGGGGAGATTGAAATTACCCTCCTCCGTTATTTTTCCTCTAAGATATTTGATAGCGTCTACGGGACGCTTTCTGAAACATCTACAGGCTCTAGTGAATTTAAAAAACGTGGCATGACAGAAACCAAGAGAAGGAGCACATTAAAAAAACCAAAACCACAGGTTATTTGGACTAGCAGCTTAATTCAGTTTGCCACCTCCCACTCCCTTTAATTTCTCGATTGCAAACCTAACAAGTTTCCTCATCTCCGGAAGAAAACCATTTGGCTGTTTTCAGTCTTCCTATTCCCCCGACAGACAATTTAGCTCTATTCTCCTAGTGTGAGTTGTTGGACTATTTTCTTTCTCAAATCCAGCTACCCTGAGGCGCAGCTCATCTTGCCTTTCCCTAGGACAAATACAGGGACGTAACTAAGGATTTGCGATTCGCCCGCTTACTTCCATCGTTTACCATACCTTTCTGTAACACCACTTAGTTCCAAGATGACCAAATCACACGTGTTCGCACACGTTCTCGAGGCGCCAACCCCCCCCGGGCCTTCCCCCCCCGCACCCCCCCGGCCCCCCCCCCCCCCCACCCTCGGGCATGAGCGGCGCCCCCCACCCCGCCTCTCACCGCCCTCCTTTAGGCGGCAGCTCCCTCCCTCGGGATGCCCCGCGCCCCTTCCCTCAACGCGGCCCTCACAGCAGCGGCAACAGGTGGGAACGGCCCCCCGGCGCCTCAGACGGAAAGGAGAGAGAATTCAAAGCCACAATCCAAGCGGCCCAGCCCGCACCTCGCGCCGGGTGACAGCGGCCGCCGGCGGTCCTCGCTCAGGGCCGAGACGCACCCTCGGACGCCTCCGCGGGCGGCACGGCGCCATTTTGGGACGCTGGAAGGCGGTGACTATAGCAACCAGGAAGAGGCGGACATCGCGCGGGGTCACCGCCGGCCCGGCCCCCTCTTAAAGGAGCAGAGCCGGCTCCGGCACAGCGGCCGGCCAGCGTTTGAGCCCCCCGCGGAGCGCCGCTGCCCCGCGGGCCTCTTTCGCCCCTCCCGCCCCCTGCCGGAGGGGAGGTCCCGGCGCGGACCCCGGGGTGACGACCCCGGCGGAGGGATACCGCGCTGCGGCCGCCGAACCCACCGAGCGCAGGGAACCGGGCGCGCGCACGGCCGCCGCGGGGGCCGCGTGGGGGGCGGCAGCCCGGGCGGGGGCCGCCCGTCGGGCCGGAGGCTGCGCGGGCCCCGGCGGGGCCTCGACGCCGGGAGAAAGTAGTCCGCCGGGCTCCCCCCCGCGCCGCTGGAAGGGGTTCGGCGGCGGAGGCGGATGCCACTCGGTGCTGCGGCTTCAGCTGATAATTGAAGGGAAGAGAGGCGGCTGCTGCTAGGCGGCGAGGAGGCACGGAGCGTCTGCGGAGGCCGCATCGGGACAAACTAGGTACCCGCGGCCCCTCCGCTTCCTCGCTGGGCCACTGGGGGAGGTGGGCCGCGGGGCCTCAGTGTTCTGGGGCTCCTTGGCGTTCCGAGTCCCCGGTTCCCGGGCCCCCGTTCTATGGGCCCCGCCGCGTCTGCCCAACCGCGCCGCCCTTCTGCGGGGCTCCGGCCCGGGCCGGTGTTGGGGTGCGCGGGGGCGGCTGGGCTCCGAGGTGGGTGCGGGGTACGGGGGCCGCGGGGTCGGCGGGGCGGCAATTGGGCCTGCCATCGGGCCGCGGGGCCGGGTCGCCGTTTCTCGTCTCCGGGGGGGGGGGGGGGCCCGCCCCCCGGGGGGGGGGGGGGGGCCGGCCCCCCCCCGCCGGCGGGGGGGGGGCCCCGGCTCGGCCCGGTGCCGCTGCCGATACAAAAGGGCAGCGTCAGTGTTGACACCGCGCCGTGCCCTTCCGCCTCTCCCTCCCCCGCTGCCGTCGGCCCCTTTGCCCTGATGATTCTTCCCGTGTTTTTCTTTTTCTTTTTCTTTCCTTCTTTCTTTATTTTTTTCTTTCTTTTTTCCTTTCCCATAGACGCTATCAAATATCTTAGAGGAAAAATTAAAAAAAAGCAACTCCTCTCCCCCTCCCCCCCACCTCACAGCCCGGTTTGGCAAAAATGCTCCATAATCGCCCGTCGTCCATATTTCAGAGCCTTTCTGGGGGAAGGAAGAGGAAGGAGGTGGGGAGACAACGGAGGCGATGTAGGGCCGAGCTGCGGCCCTGCCCGCCGGATTATTTTCGCAGCCAGCACTCCGGAGCCGCTGTTTTTTGTCGCTTTCGGTCGCGATACGAGTTCCCGGCCGCGCCGTTCTCTTGCATAACGTATCGCGCTCGGAGGTCGCTCCGGCGGCGGGTGCCGGCCCGCCCGCCCGGCGCTGCCCGGTGCCGTCCCGGCGCTGCCCGCCGCTCTGCGGGCCTGCTTTCCTGCGCCGTGGCCCGGCATTGTTCCCGGCCCCCCTTCCTGGTGCGCCGGCCCTCGGCCGCCGGGGGGCTCCGAGCGGGGGCGGCCCGAGAGTCTGGGCCGTGAGCCGGGAGAGAACGGGGGGAAGAATGGAAAGTTATGTCGAGGGCTTCGGGGGAAAAACATCGACGTAAGGAACAAAGGTCCTGCCTGTGCTGGGAAGGCCTGCTTGTGAGGCCTGATTGTGTCGCATTTACACACGGGAAGAAACGGGTGCTTGGTACTGGCCTACATTGATTCTGTAGCTCTGGTGTGCGGCTTGGGAGCGTTTTCAGAGCCTGTGCAGTTTGTTTGGAGGGTGGTTTTGTTACGTGTAGCAATCTAGTATTAATTTTAGTTGGAAATATTTCATATATACATCTATGTTTCCAGGCGATTCTACAAGATTGCATCGTCTCGTTCTCTTTTTTTTTTTTTTTTTTTTTTTTTGCCTACCTTGCCATTTCCCTACCCTGTTGCAGTCACAACACCGATCTGGGCTTTCTAACCCCACAGTACAAAACTTTCCTTGAATGGGGCAACTTCCACAGTTTCTGCACTGCGTTCTGCTTACTGAGCTTCCTGGTGCTTTAAAAGCTGTCAGGAAGAGAAGCTAATTAGTTACCACCTCACTGTATGACATACATCCTTCAGAATAGGGAAGAGGAGGTGTTTAATGACTTACATTTTAGTTTATTTCACAAGTTTTTTTTGCTGTAACTGGATATAGTTCCTTTGGAAGGCTTCAAAAACAAGCAGGCCTTGCTGTGATTGCTTCTGTTTATCTGCTGCCTTCTTTACAGTTCTCTCTTTCCTTCCCCACCTCCAAGATTGTTCCTGGTTGTATGTAGGCTGTGTGTGTTTAATTGCTGCTTAAACAGATCTGTGAGGTTTCAAAGTATTTTAAAAAATTTTAATACATGCATATACAAATGTGTGATGAAGATCAAAGCAGTGCTTGAAAAATAACAATACCTCTCTGCTTTTTGATACCCTAACTGATAAATATTCATAGGGATTAAATATATTAATGAAAATTGTAGTATTTCAATTTTTACAGGTGTCACACTCAACTAAAATGTTTAAAAGCAGTATTCTGGTGAGTAAATAACACTTCTAGTGCTTCTTAAAAGCTCACGTTTTCAGCTTGTGGCAAGAGAACTTATTGTGAGTGGCTCAATTGTGCACATAGTGTAGTTCTATAGGTTTGATCTTAAAAATTGAAGTTTTTTTCTGAAACATTTGTTGCTGAGTGCCTCCTATTCTTGAGATAGAAATATAGATGGTCTGACTGTGGGTGTTATTTTTTTTTCCCCTCTTAGTGTTGCTGTAAAATCTGGTGTTCAGCTTGTGATACTGACTTGTAGTCTGTGTTCTCCAGGCTACAGATGGCTCCATAGGTAAGATTTGAAACTGGTTTTAGCTGTTAGTAGAAAAATTGTAGGTCATCTGTGATGTGGCATTACTACTTATTAATATAGCAGATCTACTTTAGTAAGAGTGCTGATGTGTTGAGTAAGAGGCTTATGAAAATGGAGTCTTTTCATGTCTTGTAGAAGTTCTGGCTGGTAACCAGCAGGGAAATAACCTGTATCTTAGTAAATGAGTGATTGAAACTCCTCCTTGATAAGGAGCCATGCAGAAGTTTCTTTTATTTCTATATTATGCTTTGACCTATTGTCTTCAAACTCAGGATGTATACATTACAGAAAAGAATTGCAGTGAAGACCTTTTGTAATATCATGCTGATGCTTGAGGTGTACGGCTATGGGTAACAAGGACCCTGCATTCCCAGTACAGCATTTTTTTTTCTTTTGAAACCTGATGGAGCTGACTTTAATTTCATAGTTGAAGTCGTGATGAGTTTTTGTAAGTCTTTATATTACTGATAAGTATTACTTACTTTGAGACCATTTGGTGAGACAACCTGACTAAACCGCTTTCATTTTTCAGCAGTGAAGCTGAGGTTTGAGTAGGAAAGTTACTGTTCGATTAACCTGCATGTTGGTACTTACTTTGCAGTGTAAGTGAACGTCAGAACTATCTGTGTTACTTCTATAGGCTGTGCTGCATTTTCTAACTAGGGAATTAGTAAGTAGCACATAGAACACTGCTCATCACTGGTCTGTCTTCTGTCACACCGAGGCGGAATTATTGAACCAGTGTATAATCAGGTCCCAAAGTTGTACGCCGTGTACTGTCTTGTCAAAAACTGGGACCTGGAATGTTTCTGGGATCTTCCATTGGCTGGTCTGATGATGTGTGTCCTGTTCATCACCTGCAAAATTAGTAACACTCCCTATTAGGCAGTTTGTGGACTCTGACAAATTCTTAGTAGTGGAAATTTTTAATCAAGCTGTCACTGCCCAATTCAGTACTGACAGTGAAGGCAGTGATGCATCTGAACTTTCTGGTAGCAGGGTAAGCAATTACCTTTGGGCCAATGGATGTTTTTTCTGAAGTAGTGCAGTTTACTGTAAATTTGCTCTTGATAGTTTATATGCAGTATTGCAGCAAGCTTATGGCAGTGTATGGACCAATTTCTTATAGAGTGTTTTCATAGTAAAGTTTTGATTTATGATATGAAGCTGATAACTGGAATACAAAGTTTTATTAGCTGTCCTGTGTTTTTACAATTTGCTTGAATAAATTTTGCTCCTTAAGAAAGATTATCAAGCATCTATTTATCACAAAACACTTGCACGTAGCTTTTTGGTTCAGAATGTCTCTCCAGACAAAATAATTAAACGTAAAATATGAATTCAACAATCTTTTGTGAACCAAAAATTTCCAGCTGCATGTGATGCCAGTCACTGTGAAAAACAACTTAAGTCAGCTAGCTTCTCTGCTGCATGCTTTGAAATAGTGGGGATGGTTACTTACTGTGATGGTTAGTTCTGAGCTGCAATTGTTCTCCTAATGCTGCCATGTGATAAAATCGTTCTCAGCAAGTTGGTTGAATCTAACTGTGGAAATACACAATTGTAGTCTCCTTTAATTCTGTCTGGCAGTTGGGGTTCAAGCACACACGAACTATTCTACTCTGCCTGTAACAAGGCTTGTCTTGTAACGTGCTGACTGTTGCCAATCTTAGTTGACTCATGAACATATACAGGACTAACATGGCAGAAAACTGCTGTGTCTGAGAGTGATAGTCTGCTTTTTAAGGGAAAACTTATATAGCTTTAATTAAATAGCTTTTAATTGATCATCAAGCTGATAAAATCACTACATTTTCCTGAGTGATAGGAAAGAAAAAACCAAACACATAAAAAGATGGATGTGAGGAGGGGACTGGAAGGTTTCTGTGTTGTAGTAATTCAGTGCTTTGTCATGGGAGGGCAATCACATGTCTCAGTGTTTTCTGAGTGGATTGGTCTGCTATGTGATGGTGTCTGATTTAAAATAATGTGTGATAGAACAGGGAAGATGTGACCCTCAGGAATGGCCTGAGTAATCTCCTGACACTGAACCTAGAA